GACCTCCGATTCCAGTTCCCGTGAAATGTGCAACCAGATACAGCGGCTGAGAACAAGCGCTCGGCAGGGCCAGTTTTGACGGTAAGCTGCAATCTGTCCTCAGACCTTTCTTTCAAAATTATCTCAGCCTCACGTAGTAGCTTTATTTCTGTTTTGAAACAGGGTCTTACTATGAAGTTTAGGTTGGCCTTGAATTCACTCTGTAGCCCAGGCTGACCTCGAACTTGTGGCGATCCTCCTGCCTCAGCCTCCTGAGTGCTGGGATTACAGGTGTGCGCCACCACGCCAAGCAAAAAGGTCTTTCTCGTGGTGCACCTTAACCCCACCACCCCTGCCGATGCCGGGGAGCAGGTGCCATGGACGAACGTGTCCCCGCCCCGGCTCCTATGCAGGAGTCCTCACCTCTAAGGTGTTGCATTGGGAGGACCCATTTGACAGTGGCCATGTGCTTGGTGGACCCTGAAGGACACCTCCGTGTCCACTCACGGGGCAGCAGATACCACATTTGTGCCAATGCTGGGATGGTCAGTTGGTTCCTGGGCAAGGAGCCAGCTGGGACAGTCATGGACTTCCTTCACCAAGGGGCGGTGCTTGGTCACTTTTGTCATTTCTCTGAAGAGAAATATTTATAGTTTTTAAAAGATACTTTTTGTTGTTTCTCTGAGATGGCGTCTTGTTATGTATGTAGCTCAGGCTGGACTCGAACTTTCAGGGATGCTCCTGCCTCAGTCTCCCCAGTGCTGGTATTACAGGTGTGGGAATGACAACCTCGTGAAGAAAAACTTTGCCCTGTGTGTACGCTGGCTGCAAGATGGCTGTGGAAGCCGCTTGTTCCTGGGACAGGAGAGCAGGTGCCTGCGCTGTCACCTTGCTGGCACTAGGGGGCACTCCAGGCCCGCAGATGCGGGGGCCTTAAGGGTCCAGGGCTGTGCAGCCAGGACCCCGGGACCTCCAGGTGCTCAGTGTCGGGAGGCGGGGGGACAGCGTCTCCTGGGACCCTCTGTGGCCACTCTGAGCCATTAAAATGATAATAATGTGGATCTCATGTTGCATATTTTACTGTTTTAGTTCATTTCAAATTCTTCCTGTCTCCCAAGAGGCGACAGTGCCCTCCTGCTGGCGTCCATGAACTCACTCCTGTCAACCCTCTGGTAGCTGAGACGTCCATCTCTCAGGCGACAAGCGGGGAACGAGTATACAGCCTCCGCCCCCGGCCATCACGCTGGACTAATCCCGTGTCCGCCATCTGGGACACCAAGCACACACACACGGGGGAGGCAGAGGCAGGCGGGTGTCGGGGCCCGGTGGGGACGGCCTCCGTGCAGGTGTGAATGCCCGTGTGGCTGAACCCTGACTCGCATGGGCGGATCTGCGGTCGGGGGCGGACGGTTCCCTCCTGCACTGAGGGTCAGGCAGAGAGAGAGGAAGGGGGAGAGAGAGCTGAGCGTCGTTATTTACTTGCTGAGCCTTGAGGGCAGAGAAGAGGGTGTCTTCCAAGGCCCGAGCACCCAACCCTATTATTTCTGTCTATCTGTTCCCCAGAGCAAACTTTAATAACTTCTAAATCGGGCCAGCAAACACCCTGCAAATCAGAGCCGTCACACAGGAAGCCCTGGTGTCCTCCCTTTGACGCTGGTGAAGGCAGCGTCCCCCCCCGGCCCCTCCCCCAGCCGCAGCGGCTCCTGGCGGGACTGACGCCCGACGCCGCTCCATGACCCTATCCTGCAGTAAGTGGTGCCGCTGGGCCCACGGCTGATGGCAAGATCCCAGCAGGGAGTAATTCACCCCAACAAGGGCTTCTGTCGCCCGAGAGTGCGGCCCCTCAAGGCCCCAGAAAATCTGATTTTAAATGGAAAAAGAAGCCAGACCACCAGACCTTGGCTTGGCAAGCTATGTGGGTCCTTTGGCTCAGGCCAAGTGCGGGACTCGCATGGGATCCTGGCTCAGGCCGGAAAAACGCCAGGGTCCTCCTGGGCCTGGGGTCCAGGGTCCCCTTCTCCCGCCTGACCTGACGTGGCCGGTTGAGCACTGGTCCCTACACAGACACACCTTTGTCCTTGGGGCACAGCGGCGCCTGTGTTCCTCCCCTCCTGGGCTATGCCACCTCTTGATACAAAGGGGGATCATACTTTAGTTCTGTCCCAGCCCCTTCCTCGAGCAGAGCTGCACACCTGTAACCCCAGCACTCAGGAGGCTGAGGACGGAGGATCACCTGAGTGAGTCTGAGGCCAGCCTGGGCGACAGTGAACGCACCCTCTCGTTTTAAACACAGGATGTTTGACTTGGGTTCGAAGGTTGTCCCACCCTGGCACAGGCCTTGGCAGTACCCAGCGCCTCATCCTGCGGCCTGCAAGTGGCTTCCACCCCCAGCGCTGCGCATCCTCCGACACCTGAGTGCCGCCGCGGACAGCAGCTCCGGAGGCCTTCAGCTGTCCCCAGCAGGGCTGGAGTCCCTCGGAGCCACCAGAGCCGACGCCTCAGCAAACAGCACCAGGCCGGTGCAGCACACAGGCTGCATCCACACAGCACGAACAATTAGTGCTATTTAATTACCGACAAAATTAGGCTTACAGATTGATTTACGGCCCTGCAGATGAAACACATATTCTTGGAGGAAAGTGAATTTCTTACAGCTAATTTCAGAGAAAACAGGCAGGTGATTCTGATGGGAAGTTGTCCCGAGGCCTCGGCCCGCGTCCCCAGGCCCGGGGGACAGCTTTCCCCGCAATTAGCTTCGCTGATTACCGAGAGAAGACTGGAAGCTGCAGCCGCATGCTGGAGCGCGGGAGGGGGCATCTACGTCTTATTTTAGTCCCGCTCAGGTATCTAGAGTGGCAGCTTCCCAGAAAGGCTTCCTCAGCCAGGCGCAGACCAAAGTTTCACCTCACCAGCTGTGCGTGACGGGGACACAGCCTGCCGAGGCAGGCAGCAGCCAGACTCCCCAGTCACCTTCTATCACCAGAGGAGACGGTGCGGCGACACCTGGGAAGACAGGTACCTGGTGATCACAGTGCGGGAAAAACACTCAGTTCTATTTAGAAAAATAGAAATGATTGTTTTCCATAAAGAACAGGGACATTAACTTCTAGTCAACACAGTGAGAACTGTCTGAGTCAGAGTCCGGAAGGCACGGCAGTCTCTGTCGGGGAGGGAGGGAGACCCCACTTAGAGATGCGGCGGGGCAGACAGCCGTTCTGCCCTTCAGCGCCCCCGGGGGACGGGGTGAAGGGCAGGAAAGGAAACCCCGGTGTTTTCATCAGTCGGGCAAAGGGCCCGCCGTCCCTCCACAGTGCAGGACACAGGCGGCCTCGCTCGCCCGGAGCCTCAGGCCCCTGCCCTGTGCGCCAGCCCTGGGGCGGCGGGCAGGCCTGGGTTTCACGCTCTGTCCAGGCGATGTGGGTGCTGCTGTTTAGACACCGCGCCCTGGATGTGCCTGGGCTCTCTGCGCGTCTGTGCCCCTGCTTTGGAGTTTTACAGTGCAGAGCGCCACAGCAAAGAGAAAAGGGAAAGCTTAAAAACTAGACAAGAGACAGACGACACGCAGGAAACCCGCACAGGACAAGACGATGCGCTGAGCACAGGCGCACCGGAAAGGGGGCTTCACAGCGCGCCCCGGGGCTGCAGACTCAGACAGCCGCACCCCGTGGGCCGGGTCACAGTGTCACACGGCCTGACACGCACCGCTTCTGCCCACCGAGGGCAGCAAGCCGCCGCATTCGCTGCTGTTGCGCAAGTGTCCGCAAAAGTGCAGGGCAGGTCCTCTCCCTCTCTGATCGGCCCCGCGCCCGATTCCAAAGCGCCCCTGCAGCCGTGCGGCCCTGAGCCTCCCTGAAGCCCAGCGCCTAGACACTGAGCTCCTGCCGGGTCTCAGGAAGGAGCGAGGCAGCGTCTGCCCTTCTCGGGCCGTGGCCTCTCTTAACTGGTTGGTCCAGGTCCCCGCGGGGGCGTCAGGATGGAGATCTGTAGGGACACCACGTGGAGGTCATCCAGGGATGTGGCCGGGGTCACAGAGACACCGGAAAACAGCGCGCGCCGGGACCTCCTCTCCGACCAGCGTGCGCTCCCGTCTGGCGAGGTCCGGGGCGACACCCGGCCGGATCGCGGCGGCTGGCTCGGGGCAAGCGGCGAGGCCATTGGACACCTGTTGTGGGCGTGGGCGGCGCCGCTCGCGGCCCGCAGAGCGCGGAGTCGC